CTTATGAGTTCATCGCCTCGCTCATTCCCCCAGCCCGTCTTGTGCCATCGTTGACGTCCGCGTGCGCGTTCGTGGGCAGTGCGCCGCGGCTGGTCGGCGCTGCTGCGGTGGTGGGTGAGAGTCCTCAGGGGTGTTTCTGGGTGTCTCTTCAGAGAGTTCTCGGGGGACCTCGATGTTTGTTCATTGCCTGGTGGAGGGCCAAAGGTATGAAGCGGTGATTCTACGCCTGTGCATGTGGCCGTGGTGACCGTGTCCGCAGTGAAGGGGGCGGTGGTGCATGCGCTGCTGCGTCAGGTATTCGGTTTTGTGCAGGGTGGCGGTCGGCGGTTTGGAGATGAAAGCCTTTTGGAGACCTTGTGGCAGAATATTTATTTAGCTTGGCCGACGTTGTATTTGTTTCTTCAGGTGGGCACCCAAAGGTTCCGTTACCTCCCTGTGCTGCTCCTTCCGCGTGGAATTGATGCCTGAGCCGCGCTCCAATCTCGCTGGACCAGGCGAAGCGGCAATGTATGTCATGACATTTGGCCCTTTTCGCCACCGTGCAGGGTCTGGAGGGATGCCTGTGGAAGGGCCCTTGGAGCTTCAGAGAACTTTTTTGGAGGCCTTGAAGGACTCTTGAAGCTTCTGAGGAGCCTTTTTGGAGGCCTCTTGCGGCTTCCTGGGCGCGTCTTGGGAGCCTCGTGGGGCCTATGGGGAGCTCCTCGGAGGCCTGGGGGGGAGGCTCAGGGGGTGATCTGGAGGCCGAATGCCTATTGAGAGCTTTTCGGAGGCCTGGGAGGGGCTCTGGGGGCGATTTTGAAGCCGAACGCTCGAATGTCCGTTGGCCCCCCTCCCCCCCTCGATGGGGTCTTCCTGAAGGTGTCTTGAGGTTCGCCAGCGCCGTCTTTGGCGAAACTTGGTCCGTCTTGGACTCCCCGTGGACCGTTTTGTGGCTCTCTTGGTTGCTTGAGGGGCAGTCTTGGAGCGATTTCAGTGGCTTCTTGGGCCGTCTTGGAACGTCCGCGGCCGAAAAGGTGAGAACGCTAAACGCCTTAGAAAACTATTGGGAAATCGTTGACTTGTGCCTGTAGGGGGCTTCGTGGGAGTGGTACTGGAGGCATCTTCGGGCGTCTTGGAGGCGGTTGAAGTCATCTGGTGGCTATCTTGGGCACTTTGGAACGACTTCCAGTGACTCTGGGCCCTCTCCGACCGCCTTGGCGGCCTCTTGAGACGCTCTTGACGGCCCTGAAGGCAGCCCCCAGGAGTTCTGGCATCCGCGACGGGGACCTCCCGGGGACCGTCCGCGAGACTTGCCTGGGGACCGTCCGCGAGACTTGCCTGGGACTTGCACGGGGTGCTCTTCGTCCGGGGATCCCTAGGTGCAGCCACGCGCGCGCAAGCTAGACGTATTCGAATGCTGCTACTGGTGGTTGCAGCACGCATTCGGCCCGCTGGGCCGGCGAATACGGGTTGACTGTCCTGTCAGACGGAGCCAGGACGAGGACAACATCGGGTGAGGATACACATTGAGAACCTCTGGGACCCCGCGGCTCTGGAGGATGTCTCGGGCGCCGCAGCCTTCTCAGGGCGTTCCGGAAGGCTCCGAGAGTGTTCCGCAAGGTTCTCTGGAACGGACCCATATTTACGACGTCCTGATTTTGCAGGACGGCGTCCCTGGAAGAAGTCCCGACCCTTTCCCCCCGGACTGTTTTTTCGTCCTGGGTCGTTGTTTGACGGCCCCGAGGCCCGGCGAGGGGCCCCCCGGGGCCGCAAATAGCCAAAAGCCTCCCGTCCAGATTTTTCTGTTGGCGCGACGCGAGCCTGTCTGGGGATGGTGCCCCGCCTTCGCCCTGGCCACGCAGCCCCGTCCGACCTCGTCGGGAGCTTCTGGGCAGCGCGTCGCTCCGCCGGTTCCGGACCGCCACGCCTCGGCGCGACGCGCTGTCCACGCCGCGGCCCCCAGGGCCTCCACGTCGCGAGCCGTTCCCGGCCTCCCGCCCCCGCGGGGTGGAGCGACGCGCTATCCGCTCGCAGGGCACAGCGCGTCGCCGGGGCCGCCGCGCCGCGGCACGCCCAGAGAAGTTCCCGACCGCCAGCATGGTTACACCCCTGCGGCAGAAGCCTGGCATCGCTCGGACGTGTGCGTTTTTTTTTGTTTTCCTCGGCGAGGACCATCGAGGAGCATCCTTGACCAGTTGCCGAAAAAAAACACGCACGACACCGAAAACAACACAGGGAATGGACGTCCGAGCGATGGCGAGGAAGGCCCTTGACAGCTCTGGGTGCACACTGGCGCGGAATGGGAGACCACGATGGGGGCCACGAGGAGTGGCCATGATCGGCCATCGGCTTCGGCGGCCCAGGCTCCTCCACCTGGCGTTCGGACAATTGTTCGTAGAGCTCTTACATTGAACAGCTGCTCAGGGAAGCATGACCTTTCGGATGTCTGCGCAGATTTCTTGGATGGGCGCTGAGACCCCTTGGCGGCGCCTCCGGCGCTGCCCCATGGCGCGCCCCGCGCGCCAGGGATGAGGGTCAAGCGCCGATCTTCGAAATTCGCGCGGACATCCGAACATCCAAGTTCGCGTAGCTCTTATTTCTGTTAATCATCTGCTCGGGCTCCAGGCCTGTCAGATGGGGCCAGGAGTCATCGTAAGGTTGTGCAAGACGACCATTGGAGAGGAGGCATGCTGTCAAAAGATGTCCATATGTCTAAAACATGTTTACAACAAGTAAAGCGCAAGCAACAACATGCTTGAAACATGCTCATGCATCTTGATACATTAAGCGCACATGTTCAACTCAAAGACCGGGCTGTTTGGGTGTCCACTGTCGTGACATCCACAATCATAAGGGGGTCGGAGGACCGCGCCGCCTCGCCGATGCGTCGGTGGCGCGGCTCGATTCGACACCCGATGTTCTCCACGCCGGCGGCGCCGGTGCATCGCCGAAACTTCGGCGATGCACGGGCGATGCGGCGCGATCCTCCGACCCCAGCCGACTCGGCCACCACGGCGCGTCGTAATCCGGCTTGATCTTGCTTTGAGTGGACATACCTACCCAATCAGAGCTTGCCTCTGTAGGGGTCCCAGCGGATTTAAGGGTAGGTGAGGTGTGTCGCCGATTCGGTGGCCGTGCCCGGGTGCCCGGGTGCCTGGGTGCCCGGGTTCGCCGCCGATTCGGTGGCCGGGCCCAGGGGCCCGGGTGCCCGGGTGCCCAGGTGCCCGGGTTCGCCGCCGATTCGGTGGCCGGGCCTGGGTGCCTGGGTGACGGGTGCCCGGTGCCTGGGTGGGTGCCCGGGTGCCGGGTGCCGGGTGCCCGGGTGCCCGGGTGCCCTGTAGCCCTGTAGCCTTATAGCCCTATATCCCTATCGCCTTATAGCCCTATAGCCCTATAGCCCTATAACCCTATAGCCCTATAGCCCTATACCCTATAGCCCTATAGCCCTGTAGCTCTATTACCATATAGCCCAATAGCCCTATAGCCCATATAGCCCTATAGCCCTACAGCCCTAAAAAGATTATGTTTGTTTTTTTCTCCGGTATCATGGTTTTCGGATGCCATGCTTCTCGCGTGCTTGTGTGTTTGTGTGTTCGTGGTTGCCCGGTGTGTCATGATGCACACGTTGCCGCCGCAGGTTTAATAAGAGTTTGCCCGCGCGGCGTTTGGCCGATCCATCGATGATAGGTGTCACCGTCCCACCCCCCGTGGGCCTTTTCAGCCGGGACTTCACGCTGGGAATCCTTACCATAATCTAGCGTTTCGAAAAGCTCGAGGCGGCCGGTTTTTCTCTTCATGTTCAGCCCCTCTGGGGGCCGGTTTCGGGCTTCGGACCCGTCAAGGAATTGCTCGGGATGAACACTTTGGCTCTGGGGAAGGTTCGTTTGCGGCTAGACCCTCACATCGTTTCCACTTTGAAAACCGACCATTGGGGAGGAAGGGGCTTCTACAGATCCCCGAAACTGTAGATCATCTAAAAAATTTTGGTTCCAGTTCTACACTGCTGTGTGATGTGTAGAAGCACAGTCCGTTTTGCCTGCTCCTCTACACATTTCTGTTTCAAGTGTAGAATTTGCGTGCTGTTTTTGCACATTTCTGTGTGATGTGTAGAAGCTACGTGTTTAGATTTGTAGAATTGTCGTGTCGAAGACAAAACGCACATATCCACGCATGTGTAGAACCTGATTTTTGGTTCTAAGCCCTACTAGTTTGAGGCGTACAAACAACCGAAGGGGACGCGGTCCAGGAATCGAATAACTTACGCATCGAGCACCATCGAAGCGTCGGATCTCTGGGTAGACACTTACACCGATCCTGACGGGGTCCATCTTGGGCCGAGGGTAGGTGTGTATGTCTCCCTGGCCAAGCCAGAAAGGTGCAGAATCGGGCACGGTGGGCAGGTCCGCTCTGCGGAACCAAGGGTGCTCCTGTGGTGTCCTGTCGATCTTGGTTCGTGCCCTCTTCTCGTTTGGAGCATTCTTCCGCGCCTGAGCAGGAGGAGGAGGAGGAGGAGGAGGAGGAGGAGGAGGAGGAGGAGGAGGAGGAGGAGGAGGAGGAGGGAGGAGGAGGAGGAGGGAGGATTGCTTTTGGAAGGCACCCGCGCCGTCTCCGGTGCTCGCTGGCAGCGGCCCCGGCTGTGCACCTCGATCCTGGGCCCAGGATCGGCATGGGCCTGGCCGGGGTCCGTGCAGGGTGTGGAGCTGGTGCCCTCCCGGGAGGGGAAGGCCGCCCTGCGCGAGGTCGAGGGCGCGCGGGTTTGAGAGGGAGGCTGCCCCTGGCGAGGCCGAGGTGGAACCTGGGGGAGAGACGTCTGCGACCCACGCGCCTCGCCCTCGAGAAGGGCCAAGAGGATGGCCTCGGCGGCGTGCCCGCGGCAGCCTGCGGAGGCAGGGCGAGGGTGGCCCCGCCAACGGGAGCCAGCGGAGCGCTGGCGAAGCAACGTCGACTACACGTGAGAGTGACCCTTCGCCTGTGTAACCTCTGGGTGCGGGCTCACCGGGGCCCCCCGATCGCCGAGCGCGATGCGATGGTAGCGTCCTGCGCGCCTGCGTTTGTTCGGTCCCCCGCGGCCCCCCAAAAGCCGCGCACCAAAGGTCACTCTTACCCAGGGTCGCTCTTGCGTGTAGCCGACAGAGGCTGAACCCCTGCGGGTCCAGTCGGCGTTGGGCGCAGCAGGCGCCCCTGTTTGGGTTCACCTGGCGCTGGGGGAGGAGTCTGGGCCCCCCCCTACGGGGGGCCTCCTCCTTCTCCTCCTCCTCCTCCTCATCCTCCTCCTCTCCTCCTTCTCCTTCTCCTCCTCCTCATCATCGTCATCATCATCATCATCATCATCATCATCATCATCATCATCATCATCATCATCATCATCATCATCATCGTCATCACCACCATCATCATCATCATCATCATCATCAGTCTCATCATCATCATCATCATCATCATCATCATCATCATCAGTCTCATCATCATCATCATCATCATCAGTCTCATCATCTCATATCATCATCATCATCATCATCATCATCATCATCATCATCATCATCATCATCATCATCATCATCATCATCATCATCATATCATCATCACATCCCCCCCCCTCCTCACTCCTCCACCTCCTCCTCCTCCTCCTCCTCCTCCTCCTCCTCCTCCTCCTCCTCCTCTCACTTGGCTGAGTTCACTTGGCTGCGGGCGCTTTTCATGTTTCAGCCCCCCCCACCTTCAGGCGGCGCAGGGTGGGAGGCATGCCGCCCTTCAGGCTGCCGAGGCGGCGCAGAGGGGGAAGGCAAATGAGAATAGCACGCTGATGCCGAAGCCCTCACGCCTCGTTCTTCGTGTCTGTTGGGCCTCCCAGGGTGACCCTCGTCGCCACGAGCCCCAGAGTCCTGGTCAGAACAGGCCCAGGAGAGACCGGGGAGTAGCGGTATCCGTACTTTTGATTTCATGCCAGGAGGCGCGCCCCCCCTCCCCCCCCGTACCTCCTCAAACTGCAGGAGGATGTTTGTCCCCCGCCCTCCTGTGGTGTTGGTTCCTCGTCTTGAGTACGCAGCACCGCGCGACTCGCCTCCGTTTTCCTTTTGCTCGGCAGACCCCGCACACGCTCCATCTCATTACGACCTCAGTGAGCGCGCTCGCATGCGTTACCCCCTCTATTCGGCACACGTCTCACGTGTTTCGTTGCCCTTGTCCGTAGCCTTTTTGGCTCAAGGCTGTCCCCAATGAGCGTTGCTATGCAGACACTGTCTACTAGCGCATCGAAGGATGCGCTGTCTAGAGCATTGGCATCCTGCTTCGGAAACACTGGCAGATGCTGTATTCTTGCAGAAGCGCGATGCGACGATGACCCTGCAAGTCATGCTGCTTCGGGGCCTACACCCAAAAGGACAACGATCTGCAAGGAGTTTCATGCGTAGACAGCTTTTCCTTGCCATTTGTCAGAAGTGCTTGACGCGCAGTACAAGCGATGGAGTTCGGATCAGTCCAAACGCATTAGAATACCCGATTCATCGCCAGATGCATTCGAAGCTCTCTACTTAGTAATGTTTTCAGGCGCTCTTCGTTGTACATTCGGCAATGCCTGGATGTGTTCAATTTTGCCGACACCTGCATGGTGCGCATCCTACCAGTTCATTGCCTCCGGCTCGCGTCGAGCAATATTGACGAGTACGAGGCAGCAGGCCTCACGATTCAGAGATTGCAGGCGGCAGGTGTTTTTGTCGTTGAACTTGGTTTGAACGCAAAGCCTTCGTTCGGCACTGTTTCAGAGTTGCTCAGTGGGGTATGACTGCCGTGATGTGGCATGTGGTTTTCAGTGTAGCCACATCGCATGTACTGCAATGAAGGCATAAGGTAGGTCTTGTTTTGAGTTGCGCAGGTCAGGGTTCTCAGTGACTAAGTTGAAACAGGCGGGCGGTGACCTGATCCAATTGAAGGAAGGCGGCTTCAATGAAATCGGTCTGAAGAAAGCAGGATGCACTTGTGAACAGCTCAAAGCCCCTGGTTCTATTTGTTCTGGCTCTAAATTACACCAGAGAAAAACCCCAATCAGTCGATGGTTTGAAACTTAATGATCTTGATATTGAGATTGATGTTAAGATCACTAGAGGAACCGATAGTGAGGACGCTTGTAAGGTCGATCGTGAGACCGATGCTGAAGTCGATTCAATGAGATCGATAGTTGAACCGATCATGAGATCGCGCGTGCGATCCATAGTGAGATCGAGTGTCAGATCTATAGTGAGATCGATTGTGAGATCGATGGTGAGATCGATGAGAGGTGGGTAATGAGATCGATGGTGAGACCGATCCATAAGAAGATCGGCCAGGAACCTGGGAACCCGGGAACCCCGCCGCCCACCGAAATCGGCTTGGCTCGGAACACGAAACCGGGAACCCGATAACCTGGAACTAAGATCCCAGGAGCCCAGCCGCCCACCGAAATCGGCCCGGCATTTTCGCACAATTTTTCAATCTCCGCTAGGACCCTTTCAGTGCAAGCTTTGATTGGGGCATTTGCTCGGTTTT